CACCAACTATAGAACCCTGGGACCCCAGCCCTCACTGACTAATGCCAGCAGAGCCCCCATGTCACTGGGGGAACCAAAAAGCACATTTCCGAATAGCCCTGGGGGTTAAAACCACCACCAGTTAAACACTGCTACCTCATCTAAAATCTCATTTAAACCCACAGCGAGAGAGCCACCCCAGGGGCTCCAATCTGCGTCACTACTGCAACCCTTTCTAGAGTTCTCTTCCGTTTTTCTCTGTTCATCTAGATATCTCCCCCTCTCACTCTAGCCACTAGAACTTAGCATGCCACCAGTGACTCCCTTATCTCCCCTGCAAAGCCCCAACCTCCTCCTCCTCCATCCTGGCTAACACAACCTCACCAGTCAACCGGGCAGAGACCTCAAGGCAAGCTGACTCCTGCCTTTCCCACCTGGTGCAAACGAGTCCAGGTCTAAGTATCTGGAGTCCTCCCCGCAACCCACCACTGCGACTGCCTCCAATCTTATCATCCTCAATCCCTCCACAGTAACCCCACTCTGCTCTCCCCAGTGCAGCCACACCAGCCCCTACCTAGCATCTACAAGGCTCCACATCAGCAATGCTGAGGTTTCTCAGCCAAGACTGGAAACTCCTCGGACACACAAAGGCCTCCCCCAGGCTCCCCAAGGGCCCTACATCCACAACCTCCAGTGAGACCCAAACTTGCCCATTTTGGGGGGAAGTGCCCCGTACTGGGGTGCCTCTGCACACAGGCCAGGATCCTCCCCCAGCCACCCCTGGCCCAGATGATCTCCAGCTGCAGGACAGACGGGACCAGCTAACATGCTCTGCAACCTAGGAGCCTTCAGGGGAAGAGGCTCAGTGTGCTGACCACATGGGAGGGACACACCTGATGAACAGCATCAGCCAGAACCTGAGTGGACTTTGTCCCTTCCTGCCTGTTTTCAGGCCGTGTCAGCTCACTCAGAAGGGACTCCTGGTATTAATCACTGGCAACAGTGAAGAACGGGGACCTCTACAAAGGGCACAGACCACACTGTGAACTTGGCTCTTGAGGATTTTCTGACCTCCACCTCCACTCAACATGCCGTCACCTGCAGCCAACCTCCCCCAGGTGAGGAAGGAGCAACCTGGGCAGCCTGGCTGTGATCACCAACAGCACGGCTGAACCCGGCTCCTGGTATCACCGCAGACACTGATCACGTGCTTCTGGGAGATTTTTAATTCACATTTCCTCGGGACTAGACAGTCTCCCCTGGTGGCACACTAATATTAGGGAACACCTTGGAGTCCTTCTTAAAGTCCCACCAGTAGGCAGAGCACCATGGAGTGAGCTCTGAACGTGACGAAGGCTGTGTGGGACTGCAAGGGAACCAGTGCCTCAAGGTGGATCACACCAGCCATGGTGCTGTCAGTCACCTCAGAGCCTGGGTGTCATGTGACAGTCACACTTCACTTGGGCACATATCACCCACTCAAACGCTGCAGCAGTTCAAGTGAAAACAGAGCGAAAATGTCAAGGATGAGGGTATCTCAGTCTTTCTCCTTTAATGGAGGCTGAGAAGTTGGCGTTTTTTTATTAGTGCATATTAATCACACAGAACAAGGGTTCCGCTGTGGTCAACTGGTGCACGCACAGAACATGCCACGGCCCTCGCCTTCCCCTTCGCCCCAGACTCTCCCCTCCCCGATCCTCTTCTCAAGTTCAAACCAGCTATTTACTATAAGCTACAATATTAATGAAAACTTTTCAATAAAATCATGAAGGATCTGAATTTTGCAAATGATTAAAATTAAGACAGAATTTAATCAACGGTTTAAGCACAACGAGGTAATTCAGGATTAACTTGTTGTGATTTGTCAGGCACTGACCTGTCCAGCTTCCTCCCCTGTTTTGTCTTGGCTCCTATCTCTTACTATTTTTCCTTTTCTATGTCAACACCATATGTGTTGTACATGCTGAGACTACAGAAAAACACGAAGAAATTTAAAAGATTCACAATTCTATCAACCTTTACGTTCTGATAAGTTGCCTTCCCCATTATTAAAATCTAATAAAATTTAAAATCCAGTCTTTGGACCTGCTATAGAATCTGAAATATAAAAATTTTATCATATTATCAATCCATTAAGCCCCCAGTTTTCAATTCTGTGAATGTGATAAATATTTAAATATTATTTCAAAGTTAAAACAAGTGGTATATTTGTTTCTCAGTTTGAGTTATTACAGGTGTTGCGCATCAGGGATGATGGGATAAAATGGGTTAAATAATTCTCTAAATATTTTTATTGGTTGTATAATTGTTCATTATGTAGATATGCATGACATAAACCATCACTGTACATTTCTCAATCCTTCTAGAATCTCCTACCCTTGTTTTTTCACCCACTGGGAGTGATGAGGTCCACATGCTTCCTGACCACAAGCTCACACTGACACGCACTGCTTGACTCTTCGGGGCCACAGTGGACTGAGCATAGGAAGTGTCCCATGAGAATATAGGGGAGCTGACCCACTCTCACGGCCTCGTGACCCACAGCTATGGTGAAGCTGCAGTGCCCTAGGCTGCTCTAGGTTGACACTGGTGGCAGAACCTAACCTCATGGCCGCCTGGCTTGTGTGCATATGCTACCACCCTTGCAATTCCTCCTGAGACTCCAAGAACCCTGCTCACTAGCAAGCTGCATCAGCACACTCTGTTGCAAAGGCTAGAAAGAAATCGCAAGCACCCTATACCAAATAACTCAAATCATCACCAAACAAATGAAGGCACAGGCACACACCCTTCAAGCTTAAGGGAGTACCTTGCACTTTAATGCTTTGGTGTCTGATGGATTCAAGTTACCTTCATCATTTCCACTTGCCACGTGATTCTGTCAACTTCTCACACAAGATGTCTGTACTGGCCTCTCTCTTTCTGAGCAGGAGAATGCTAACACATTTGCCTCTCCTTGTTAAGCAGGTGATTCCCTGGGATTCACTAAGTTGACTTTGCATATCCACCTGCTGAGCCAGACTCAAAAATATTCTTGGATTTCAGCAAGAAGAAAACTCCTTCATTTCCCTGCTTTTGGTGATGTAAGCACTTCTCTCAAATTCTAATTAATTTCAACATCACAGAGAAATAACAGCACCGCTAATAATTACTGAACATATATCTCAAATGGCTCTTATTTACCTGAAAAACTTGTAAGAGAAATACAAACTGAAACGTTACTCAGACAATCTTTCTTGCCCATTAAGTTGACAAAAACTTAGAGTTCTCCTGGCATTCTCTGCTGGAAAGGCTGTGGGAAGGAGGTGCTTGTCTGCTCCAGAGCCCTGCAAAATGGCACCACTGTGATGGGCAGAAATTTACAAAAAATAATAAACTGTTATATGCCTTTATACTTACACCTAGCAATTCCACTTCTAGGAAACCACCCCTAAGACAAAATAATAACAATGCAGAATGATAGAAGAACAAAGCAGGAACCTTGTAATAGTGAGACCAAAGATACCCTAAAGCCCAGAAAGTGGGTGGGAGGAACAGAGTTTAATCCACTTCTAAAGGCAGAGTCACACATCTACTGGGAAGGAACAGCTGTCCCCACACTCCAGCTGGGGAACCTTCACATCTGCCAGGAAGGAACACCTCTCTCTGGCTATGTACTAAACAGTGGAAAACCACTCAGCACTGAGCACCTGGGGCACTCCCTTGAAGTCTTAAAACACTATTTCACACCAAGATACCAGGGAAGATGGCCAATTCCACACCAGAGGGAAGAAGTGAAACCATGATCCTCTAGCTCCTAACGCTCCAGACAGCAAGAACATGATCCAAGATTGCTAAGGTAAAAGTGGAGAAGGATCAATAAATATATAACTTGAATTTTCCCCCTAGGAACATTAGGTGGATGTACATTGTTCTTTACAGAAATAGTCCAGCTAGTAAATGAATAAGGAGCAATAAATTAGATGACATCAACATTTAATCAGATAATAAATTAGAAAGCATTAGTGCAATAAATTAACAGAGCTGACGATGATCGCCAGCCACACGTCATGTGCCTCCTGGGAAGTATTGCAGGACCAATAGCCTGCTTTCCTCAGTTAAAACTTGGAAGGGAAAATGGTGGAAATGGATAGAGAAATTCTAGCATAGATTCGTAATGACCTCCAAGATTCAGGTGAAAAAAGCAAGCAGCGGAACATGTTTACAGTGCGCTATGATTTAAACAAACACAAGGCAAAAAGACATTTCCATAAAGAATCATAAACGAGTTCTAAAAACATGCACCAAAAGAGTGGTGCTTTTCTTATCTCTCAGGTGGCCAGGGAACCACAGCACAGGAGGGACATCTGACTGGAGAGCCTTGTATATTATGGATTTTTAAGGCATGTGAACCTATTATTTATATTTTAAAAAAAGAATAAAATAAGTGAAAAATGAGCAATGATGGGTATGATCATAATACTCTAATTTATGCAAAAAAATGTTCTTAAATACTGAAGTAGTTATAAATAAAACACTCTCTGTAAACTTGTAAATACTTAACCAAAAAGAAAAGATAAACAAATATGGAAAATTCTTAAGCTCGTAGCTTTGAGAGTGTGAAAATCACGCAACTTCATCTACTTTTCATGACAAAAAGTAAAGCAAAAAAATTAAATAAAATAAAACTAAAACAATGTTCCATTGTAGCCAGACAAGCCCACAGAAGATGGAAGCGTGAGTCTACTCTTTCTTTATTTCTAAAATACAAGAGCTCCTACTGGCAACGAACCAAGACTGTCCATGTGATCAGAAGGGGCAGAGGCAACCTACCTGGGGAGACAGGAGTGAAGGGACCCTCGCGGCTGCCTGCTGGGAGTCTGTCTACCCACCAGCCACTTGAAACAAAGCCTAAAACCTGTTCAAGGAATGCAGACAGAGGCCTATGGCAGGAGCCAAGGGTACACAGGACGCCTTCTGAGGCACAGGGCGTCCACAGGCCAGCCACGCCTGGCCTACAGTGCCAAGGGAAGCACACTCACTTTTTGCTGGCCTCACACACATCCGTGATGTTGGAGAAGAGGTGGTGTCTCTCAGTCTTCGTCATCGTATCGCTCAGTTCTTTTGAATTTTTAAACATTCGTATCAAGATCTCCAAGCTGAGTAAATACGAATGTTCGGAGGATATGACTTCAAAGATGGCCTAGTAAGAGTGAAAAAGAACTATTTTACTAATTAGTTTAACTGAAGGACAAATATAGCTTTTTATCCTGCTGTAAAAATGGCCTGATGTCTTAAAATGCACAAAAAAGACAGCACCTGGAAACGCTCAAGGCGCAGGTCCCAGTCCTGTCTTTCTGTAAGGTCCCAATACCCAAATCCTGAGACAGCCTCTGTGCACAGTGGGAATCAGGAGGGACTGTGCCCTGAGGCCATGCCTCTGCAGAGGCTGGAATCTGGGAGGAAGCCAGGGTGTCATAAAATCTCAGTGGGACATTAATTAACCTTGGGGTCATCCCCTCCAGCACTGCTTTCAAAGCATGCTGCTTCAGGGACAGGAAGAATTTATGGCTATCCCTAGGGATTCAGAAATCCCTTCCTCCACATCCCTCCCCTCCCCTCCCCTCAGTGTGTGCTCTTTCTCTCCCTTATTTTTTTTTAATTTTTTAATTGATTTTTAAAAAATAAACAACTAGTCGATAACAATAGCAAATATTCCAGCATGATTGCACCTATCTTCAAAAGGTTCTTATCAGCCACAGGAATTCTTTCATACAAACTCACATAATTGAGAGTAACTCTGTTCAACAAGCCACCCACTCTTTCTACTCTCCTCACTGTCTCAAGAAGGAGCAAAGGACTCTCTGCAGAACTCTTGGTGTCAGGCACGCTCTGGTTTTCATGATTAAGTGTGGGTGATGGACATGCCAACCCCACCTGTGCATATTCAACAACACCGGTGGAGGAATCCAGCAGCTCCTCCGCAGGGTCAATTACAGAGCCTCCAAGGTCCATGACACAGGGGGAGGTCCTCCTTGGAGGGATGGTGAACATCCTGCAGGCCAGAGACTAACCTCCTTCCTGGCGACCTCACCACCCTCACCTCTAGCCCCCTCCCCTCAGGCCCCTGTCCCAAGGAGTATGGCCTGGGGGTAGGGTGGGAGCTGGCAGCCCAGGCTGCAGTGTGCACATAGGTTCCTGGGCTAATCTTGGTGTTCACCTCCCTCTTGAGCATCCAACAAGGCCTTAGAGCCTTAGATCTTACTTCAAGTGTGCTGGTGGAGCCCAGGCTGTGCTCTGGGGAATGAAGTGATGTTACTGTCTTAAGAGTAAGAACATCACTTAACCTATCTATTACATCACTACTCCATCAATACAATTATCCCCAAGAACTATAAGGCACTAAAGAAAATTCCCTTCCTGGCCAAAAAACAATGGCTGGATATGGTGCTCAGAACGACTTCAGACACTATCAACAGCAAAGGATTGTGTAGTCAGATCCAAAACACAAAGACTGAAGCAAAAACATATAATCAGCTACACAGAATAGATCACAGCAAAGGGGAAAAGCACTAGCTTAATAGAGTTAATGCAATAATTGCTAAAATATCCTGCAACCAAGTGTAACTAGCCAATTAAGTTACACCTACTAAAAATACCTATTTAGAATATGAAAGAAACCATAAAGTTAGGTTTGGGACTATTGGGGTTTTCCTGTTGCTGTGTGTGTGTGTGTGTGTGTGTGTCTGTGTTATTTTCTCTTGTTTTGGTGGCAATGGTGCTAGGGACTGACTGGGGTGCTCTACCACTGAGCTTCATCCCCAGCCCATTTTATTTTGAGAGAGGGTCTCACCAAGTTACTGAGGCTGGCTTCCAACTTGCAATTCTGCTTCAGGTATTTGAATAGCTGGGATTACAGGCATGGCCACCAAACCAGCTGTCATTACTTTTTTATGTCATAAATCCGAACAGACATTTTCAGATTATAATAGAAATAGATAAAGTCAAATGAATAAGATTTAAAAGACAAAGAATGTTCTAATGGAATTAGGACTTTGGAGAAGCTCTTCAATTTGTCTACTAGGTGAGAGAAACTCCTTATGGCACATGTTAACAAGAGAGGGGGAAAGTCTGTAACACCCACTTGTCCATCATTAGGAAAATAGATAAAATTTTGAAAAGGTGGTATTCCCAGAGTGGAATACTACATAGTAGCCAGAATGAATGATTCAGATTAATATACATTAACGGATGATTCTCAAAAACAATGTTAAGTATAAAACGCAAGTAACTGAAAAATATGTACAGATTTATATCATTTATATATTTTTTTTAAAACACAAGTACTCATAAATGTACATGTAATGCATGATTTTAAAACACAGATTGGTTGGAAAATTATGCACTAATTCATGATAGTTGTCTCTGGGGAGACAAAGGGAATGGGGTTATCAAGAGAATGCAGGACTTCTATTTTGTCAAAAGTTTTATTTTCTTTTAAAAAATATAAAGAAAAATTTTAAATGTAATACATTTGTTGATTCTCGGTGGTGGGTACACGGAAGTTCTGTACTCTGGTCCTCTTTCTTTAAGCTTAAATAGTCAATACACTGGACCTTTCTTTGGCTTTATTTTATTCCAGTGAAATAAATATTCCTGTGTCTTTGGAGGAATGAGTCTGTGTTCACATCTGTATGTGTACAAACAAACACGCCTGTGACAGAGGAATGACATTCTTAAGAATGTCATAGTATTACCTCAATGAGCAGTTTTCTTTTTTTTTTTTAAGCTGCACTGATTTAAACTTCAAGTTGTAAAACCCTATTATCTTAGTTTTCATTGAATAAGCTTTGCATTCTGTTGTTCTTTTTGAGTTACAGAAAACTGCCAGAGAGCTCAGAGCCTCACATAAGCCTTCCCCTGCTGACATTAACACCCAGGGTCCCTTTGTCTACAGATCAGCGTGTACTCTTCATTCAGACCTTGCCAGTGTTTCCACCAACCTGCCTGTCAATTCTAGACTGTTCCATTTTTCAAAATATTTCTTCCACTTTAAACTCCTAGACTAGGTACTTTGTTGCTTAAAGGCAAATGGTGTTAAAATACATAAAACTTTTCTTTTAGGAGGGCTCTGTGTGGGTAGCTTTATTTAACAATGGCCACATGTTGTTTTTGTAAAACAAAGAAAAAACAAACAAACGTGTTTTCAGAGAATAATACCACAGAGTGCACAGGAGCCACCCCCCACGCCCCAGCTCAAGCACCTATTCTGGAAGCGTACCTCTTGTCTCTTTCTTTCTTCCTGGCTGACTGTCTGGGACAACCCATTTCTTTTTACCTAGGAGAGAAAGCAAAATAGAGTTGAACTCATTTACTTTGACAATTTCTTTATTACATAAAGCATAACTCTGCCCTCAAAAATCCATTCTGCAGCTAGGTGTGGTGGTGCAGACCTGTAACCCCAGCAACTCGGGAGGCTGAGGCAGGAAGACTGCAAGTTCCCAGCCAGCCTCAGCCACTTGGTGAGGCCCTAAGCAATTTAGCATGACCCTGTCTCAAAATAAAAAGGCCTGGGGATGTGGCTCTGTGGTTAAGTGTTCCTTGTTTCAATCACCAGCATAAAAAAAAAATCTGCAAAATGTCAAATTAGGAGCTCTCAAATCCTCAGAGTTTAGTCACAATAATAAATGTGCATTGTTCAGCATTAAAGAACTAAAAAGTATGTACAACACAATTCTTTCAGGTTGAGCATTTTTGTTCCACTCTTAGTTCTGGATATTTTTAAAAATAAGTTATCTAATTAATCTCCCAAATCATAAATGAGAAAATCAGATAGAAAATGAGCAGCTGCTCTGGGCATGAACTGAGTCCACAGCTGACAGGAGTAGACAGGGTCTGCATCCAGGCCTGACAGCCCTAGGCCGAGGGCCCAAGGCCCCTGCTCTCAGGATAGCACCCCATCTCTGGTGAGGTACCAGCACCAAGACCCCTTTTCATGCCAGCTCTGGGTCCCCCCTGACTTTGGATGGGAAGCCACACTCTTACCCCCCAGCAAATTTTCCATTTGTTATTTTTTTTTTGTCCACACGTATCATGGAATGTCCTTAGCCTCACCCACCATCCTGACCCTGGGTCAACCTGTCAGCAGGAATTCATGGCAAAAGCCTTCCACACACTCTTAATAAGGGGGGAGGCTAGCAAACAGAATGAAACCCTACAGAGCTGCCTTTGCTGACCCCGGTGAGGACTGCACAGGATTTCCTGCTTGACACAACTTTGACACAGGGACCTGCAGACACCGTGTCCACAAGATCCACAGGTGAGGTCACAGCAAGGATTTCCGTGCCACTGGCATCTCCGTCCAGATGCAGCTCATTCCTGAAACTCTTCAAGGGAGGAGGATGAAGCACCTGGACTCAGACACCTGCCAGGCACCAGCCCTGTGCTGAGGTGTAAGAGTCTGGCCCCCCATCCAAAGTCAGGGGGGACCCAGAGCTCAAGTAGTTGATATTTTGGGGGAGAAGTCATTTGCAGAAGGTAAAGCGCTAGTGCACACAACTGTCACCATCTTTAATACTAACATGACAAATTGCAAAACACCCTTTCAGCCACACAGTCCCACTAACATCCCAGCAACCCACACAAAACTACCGACCCTCATAAAAAAAAAAAAAAAAAAGACTCCAGGAAGCGTTTTTTAATTATGATCTGGCAGCTGAACTGGAGCATATGTGGGGAGTCTGGGAGTTTGCTCTGGAGGGTTATGACAAAGCAGTCCCTCCTGGCTGGCTGCCGGGACACTGCCTGGGCCTGTCCTCCCTGTCTGCCCTCTTGGCCTGGACCTTCCACACTGTGCACAGGAAAAAGAAAGAGGACTCATTCTGTCCTCCTGAGGCCCCTGAGAGCAGGTGTCTGGGAGCTCCAGATTATGAGCAGGCCGGATGCCTTCAGAGGATGGGGCTTGTGAGGAGATAGAGGATCCAGGAGAAAAAGACAGTCCTGGAAGGGGGCCTTGGGGACAGAACAGAAGGCAGAGAAAGCCAGAGGAGGAGGTAGCCACAGGGGACAACGTCAAGTAGAGACAGACAGGGCGGGAAGGAGGGCAAGGGCCAAAAGAGAACAGGAGTTATTACCTGAGAAACACCCTCGGAATCCTCCCAACTGGGAACAGGGACCTTCTCAGTAAACCTGAGTCAGGACCACTGGAGGCCCAGGCTTCTTATGCATTATTTTTAAAGGTGTGTGTAAACGTGTTTGCACCTACGTAGTCTTAAAATGCAGATGCTTTCTGCAGTTTGCAAGTCTTTGCTAAGAGAATCTAAAGTACTGTCGAGTTTAACATGGCCCAGATTTTCTGTGGAAAACTTCTAACCAGCTTCTAACTCCTACCAGGCCTGTTGTGGTACCAAAAAGTGAAAGAAATTAAAATTCTTCAGAATAAGCTCACAGTATGAGCTTCACTGTCTACCATGTTTGAAAAATGGGATTCAGACCTGAGGCCAAACAGAGCCTCCTATCCCCAAGCTGAAAGCTGAACTCTTCCCCTCACTGCTTGCTGAACAATGAACTGGCCTCCCAGACAAGCCCAGAGGCCACAGGGCAAGCCTCCCACACAGGGAAGCCAAGCCGATTCAGGTGGTGTGCACCTGTAAGCCCAGCTACTCTAGAGGCTGAGGTGGGAGGAAGGCTTATGCCTGTGACCTTGAAGCCAGCAAGGGCCATACCCTGAGACCTATTCAGAAAAACAAAAACAAAACAATCATATTGGAAGCTCCAACTGCATACAGATAGGACCACCCAGCTAGCCAAGCAACTCACTTGATCTTTCCTATTCCTTGATGGTGTAAGGTGATTTAGGTACGTCCGCAACAAGTAAAATTGCAGAAACAGTCTATAAGCTCTAAGAACTCCTTGGCTTTGGCATGATCTAATCAACCTATCAAGCCGTTCTAATCTAGCCATGGCAGACTCTAGACAAAGTTGAACACATGTCAGTATCTTCAACGTTTAAACATTGATTTAAATAAAAGAACAGAATTTGCCAGACTACTCTTCTAATCTGTTAAAAAATAGGAAGACATATCTGAGGCTTTTCAAGAGAATGAATGCAGAGAACTCATTGATGATGTCAAAGTTCTAAATTCTTAATTGTAAGATATACATTTGCTGTTGCAATCAATATTAAAATTTTTCATCTATGATATTTGAAACCTATGTATTTTGCATATTCAAATGAGACAGAAATTAACAACTGACTACAGTTAAATAACTATTAGACCCTTCATCTAAAACTCATGCTAACTTCCTTCTTGACATCTCCTCATATGGTCTGAATGTTTGTGTCTCCCCAGAATTCACATTCAAATCCCAGACCCTAGGTGATATTATTAGGCCACAGCATCTTTGAGGAGGTGATTGGATCATGAAGGTAGTGTCCCAGCAAATGGAATTAGCACCTTTATGCTTGCTGATTTGTTTTGCTGGTACCAGAGATTGATCCGGGGTGCTCTAGCACTGAGCCACATCTTCAGCCCTTTTTATTTCAAGACAGGGTCTCACTAAGTTGCTTAAGGCCTTGCTAAATTAGGAAACTGGCCTTGAACTTGTAATCCTCCTGCCTCAGTCTTCTGTGTCATTGGGATTATAGGCGTGTGCCACCAGGCCAACTTGATTACTGCCTTTATAAAAATAGGCCCCAGAGAGACCCCTGGCCCTGCCACCATGTGAACACATGGCAGGAAGGAGCTTTGTATGAGCCAGAAAACAGCCCCTCACCACGGGCCAAGTCAGCCTGACTGTGCTCAGACTCCAGAACTGCAGGAGGAAGTCTCTGTTGTTCACAGTGACCCAGTTCATGGCAGCTGTGGCAGCAGCCCACACTAGGGCATCTGCCAGTCTGAGCTTCACAGATGACTGTCCCAGGAAGGGACCGACAGCCTCAGCCAGAGGCTCCATTAGCGCACCGGCCAGTCACTCTAAGCCTCTTTGTCTTGCAGTGAACCAGGTCAGGAGATCCACACACTGCTCAGTATTCTCTGGCCCAGACAGAAACAGGTGACAAAGCCAAGCTCAGCCCCACACAGAATACCAACACCCTCTGCACCCAGCCTGTCTGTGTATAGAGTCAGTCCCATCTCTATGGAGAGTGAGAAGAACAGAACCTCTTGGTGGATCAGATCATCATTTTCTGTGTGGAGAACAGGGCCATGTGCTGGGGCATCTCCGTAACTTGATGCCCTTTCCCAAGAAGATAGGTGTTGGTATTCCCCAACAGCCGGGAAAAGAGCATTCATGGGAGGACCCCCAGAGACTGAACAACCAGACTCAGAGACACAGCCAGTTATAACTGACACCGGCTGTATACAATGCAGGACCACTCGGGGCTCCATACAGCACTCACTCACACTGGATACCCTTTTAAAATAAGCCCTCTCAATGTGCCTGGTTCACCCCTTGCTGAACATGAGCTGCTATTCCTGGGTGATGCTCCATGATGGAACCTCTTCACCCCAGAGTTCAGGGGGAAGAGACTGCAAAGTAAAATTATACCCCCGGGCCCATCTTCAGACTCAACACAACCAGACTCATCCCTGAGTTACAGAAGATCTAGAGGTTATCACTGCAATTAACTTGGAGACAGCAACCATGAGTGTCTGTTTAATGTCCCCCAAATGAACAATCTGTCAGGGTCCAGAAATAGGGTCCTCTGTAACCAGACCCCACAGGCTTGCTCTAGCCCCACTTCATCCACAGGGAAAGATCCTCAGATACCACGTGACCTAAGCTACGCTCCCAGAGAACATCACGGGTCAGAGAGCTGTGTACACAAAGGTCAGACAAGGTCAAGATGGGGAGGGCATCATTCTTTCAAAGAATAGAATGTAAAAACAGAAAAAAATACATTAAAATCAAAAAATATATATATAGATATACAAGAATGAACCAAGGAAAGTAGAAAACACGGGCACATTTAACAAACTGTGCCCAGTGACATGCCTGGTTCATTTGTTCAAGAAGACTCTGAAGTCTCTGATCTTCTGTTGTTCAGCTCAATTCTCCAACCCTACCAAAGTTCTTGGATTTCAAGAAACAGCAAGCCCTCAGCTGCAGCGGGCACCATCAGGCCTAGCAGAACAAAGGTGAGCCAGGCAGAGCAGGCCAGCGCTCCCGGGTAGCCACACAGATGCGAGCCAAGAGCACACACCACAAATGCGAAGGAAATTAAACGTATGAGAACCTCAGCTGTGTGCGTGACGAAGGTGACAAGACTAGAGCCTTCATCTGCAGCCAGCTCCACCTGTAGCCAATTCCCCATCCAGAGTACCTGCTGGCCTGAAT